TGATTCTTTCTTTGGGCAAAACTTTACGCGCATTTATATGACCACAAGATTTCGGGGATGTAATTTCTTCAATCTTCAAGGGAATACTAATTAGTTTCTTTATAGGGCAAGCTTTCTATGCTTCCCTTACAACATAAAACTTACATACTTCTCCTTATCCAACCGTCCATTCTGAATGGAGGGCTAAGATTGTCCCAATCCCAATGTCACATCTCTACACTACTTTATTTTTAATTTTTTTTATTTATACATACTATTTTGATACCAAATTTTGGATGTCCAATCCTCTATTAATCTCGCACAAGCAAAAAATATAAAAAAAATATTTTCAATAAAATAAAATGATCAAAATACCCCTGAAAGTTTTAAGGGATATTTTGGTCCTTACATTTTATTGAAAAATTATTTTTAATATTTTTATAGGTATGCCCCAATGAGAAGATGGCACATATTAAATTTTATATTCATACAATTTGTAAAATAAAGACTAAAAATAAAATACTTTGAGACGTCGGATCTAAGATCAAACGGTGAGTAGCTCTCTTGATCAAAATTGGACAGCTGGATGGTAAGGGAAGCATAGTTCTTCCATGCAGTAGGAGAAGTATAGAAACCCTTCCCTTCTTTTTATGGTGTAAAATTGTTCATGGTTCTAAGTTCTCCACAAAATATCCAAAACTATAGACTTTAATTTCTATTGATGTATAGATTTGTTAATGAAAGGCCAAACTCTGTTTCATTACGAATGTGCCCAAATCAAATAACTTTTTTCAAACTTTGTAAGGCATATCAAGCTGCCTTGTTACACATTTCACAGCTAAGAATAATTGCAACCATTTTGTACTATAGGTAAATGGTCTTGTAATATATAATCTCATTTAAGTAATACAATTTTAGCACTCAAAGACGTTCTCCTTTCAAAAGTCCTTCTGAGAGATTGATTTCCTATATAAACTTTGGCAAATCGATAATCTCAAATTCTCAATCACCACAACCATGAACATAAAAAGAAAAAAAAATAGATTTTGAGCTAGAAAAATGGATTATCTCAAACTTTGGTTTTGGACCAGTCATTTTAATTCTTCGCATAAGATCTAATTCGTTCTATTTTATTGAGCTGTAAAATCATGGATCTAAAGAGAAAGTGCATCTAACTAAATTAGGATTCATTTCATGTCCTAAATCTATAAAATAAATTTTTTTCAAAGGAACTGCATTTGAATAGGTGCGGACTATAGGCTATTCATAGTGATCCTTCCTTCTAAGATGCTCATGCCCACCTTCTATAATACAATCTACCCTAAAAGGCCACAATAAAGGTGGAGGACTTTCGTTTAAGCTATTATCCGATAAAAGTAATTTTTTGTGAAAGGAATACCTTTCATTTGCTTTACTCCAACTAATGATGAAAGAGACTAGACAATATGGTGTGGAAAATTTTGGATCAACAATACAAAAGTCATGCTTTGCAGCTGTAATTCATTGGATTTTGCAAGCCTTAGTCTAACTTCTGAAAAGTTTATGGCCCACTAGAAAGGGGCTAGGGCCGTGGTGGTAGCATCCCCACACCGGTCATTGGTTTTCATTTCTACCAATAATGTTGGGATCGATTGGTGAAAAATCAGCAAGGGTTTGTAACATTCACAGGCATTCATATTAATATAAACAAGCAATGAAAACTACACAATATCAAAGCAAAAACATGAAATAAAAAATTTAGCAACTTTCAATTCACAGAGCACAAAGATTTAACGTAGTTCGTTAATAAATCATGACTTACATCTACGGGAGATTGACGAGAGAATTTATTTACTGATTTGAAAAGATTACAAGGTAAAATTGAGCTCAAAATATCAATTTCTACCGACCTTTCTCACTCTAAACAGAGCTAAAAATAAAGCACCAAAAACACTCAAAAATGAATTCTCTTTAATACTTTATCTCACTAAAACATAGTACACGGCAAATTCATAATGGAGTTCAAGCCTTTTGCTCACATTCTCTCTCTAAAATAGAACAAACTAAGCCCTCAAGAGAAAACCCAATTGCAGCCCAAACTCTCTATCTTTTTCTCACTCTTTTTCTTTCTAAACAAAATGGTTTTAATCTCTTTAAAAGATAAAAATTCTTACAACATCACAATCATTAGATTAGATGCAATCCAATGACCAAAATAAATAAATAAATAAATCAAATAAAACTCCCACATGTGTAATTTGTTTTTACACATGTAAGAGCTAACACCATCTTAATTATACCTTAAAAAATCTAACTCCTAATCTACTTAAATAATAATAAAAAAAACATCGTCTTCATCACTTAATTACCCAAAAAACAATAAAACTTATGAGCTATATACGTTGAAGTCCGTTGTTTAAGTGGATGATTGACGCTCCTCAGAGTTTTCTCATGGAAAGCGATTCCATGGAAGATCAACATATCAAACGATTACATGTACTGCGGGTGCATGTTCTTTGGGTGAAACCCATATCCACGCGTCTTATTTATATAGAAAATATATGCAAAGAAACACTTATTTTTTGTACACTGTCCGTCAAATTATAAATTGGATGGCGATAAATGTGTTATTGACGGGTTTCAAAGTTAAAAAATATTTCGGGAACTTCGTAACACAACTCAAGTCATTCAATTTGACATCTAATGACCATGAGTGATTGTGATCTCTTTGTAACAATGATATATGATCACATAGTATATAATCCCATATACATGACTTAAAAATTTGAGAGACAATTTTTCTTCAATCTAGTGACTAACTGCAAAAAGAAAACAAATTCATATGTAGATGCACATTTTGTGGATGCCTTAATGAAAAATAGCATCCTCAGGTTGAACTGTCTAATTTAGATCTAATTTTTTAAAAAGCCTAATTTCATTTTTTCTAAAATAATGTTATAGTAATTTGGATTCTATATTCAATTTTAAATGCTAATTAGTGTCTTTTCATGGTGAACAAATACTTACAGGTTCCAAGTTCTCCACATAATATCCAAAAATCATTAACTTTAATTTCCATCGTAGCCCCTACTCTGTCTCGACCGAGACAACTTGTGGCCAGTTGGGATTTTTAAGGATAAAATGGTGGGGTGAAATTTAGAGGGTAAATTTTACATGTAAGGGGTCACCAAATCCGGAAAAACCATGTTAGGGGTATTCGTTTAACCTCAAACTTTTGGAGCATGTTTATTAATCTCTTAAATTAATATAGAAAAATGATTTAGAGCAAAAATTGATGCCCTAGGTCAAAGAAAACATACTTCAAATGCTCCTGCCCCATTTCAAATAATGCCTTTTACCCACCAATGATTAAAAACCCACCTGGACCATGGGACTCCGAACTTGGCCAAGGCGAGTTACTCGGCTGAATCTAAGTGGAATTGGATGAGTCTTGTACAAGGCCAAAAGTTCTACATAAACTAAAGAATATAACAACTCTGAAAAAATATGAAGTTCCTAAAAGTCAAATAAGACAAAAAATAACATCAAAAACTCCAAATAAGCTTCAAAATGTATAGGAAATGGATTTAAAAATTTTGGTTTGTAGTTGGGGACATTTAAAAAATATCCAAAAAATATATAAAAATTTGAGATTATGCCAGAAAAACTCACCAACCATTGCCAAAAACTCCAAATTATATGTAAATATTTACAGAATAACCCCATATTTTTTACAAATTTGAATTTTTTTTCAAATTTTGTTTTATGTACTCGGAGTTAAACACAATTTAAAATGGAGACGATGTTCCACTGACTATGTTAAAACCATGAATTTTTTACTTCCTCATGCTTTCTATTTCAATGAAGAAATTTGTGTGTAATATTAGCGGAGCATCATTTCCCACTCCATGAATGGAGTTGTAGTTTTTGAGGTCAATGCACACTTGCTCCTTAGAAAAACGAGCTGCTTAGAAGGATTCGCTGAGGTCCATTTCGGAGTAAGTAGATGAGTCCTTTTGAAAAAAGAAAAAAAAAAAGAGAGGTTGAGTTCCTAAAACAGATCCGACTGTTCAAATGGAAGCTTTTTGGTAAATTTTAGGACCTCACTTGAGACATATTAAAATTGTGTTCAAATTAGTTATTTATTATTTAGTATTTTTTTTTTTTTTTAAGATTGATGATAGGTTATGGAGGCTACATCCTTAAACTGAAGTTTTAAAAGCAATTCTAGCTCTATCCAAGGGAGTGAATGACGCAGGAACATACAATCTTTTGACCAGAAAACTTTTTTTTTTGCAGCTTTTGCCATTCCCCTCCCCCTTTTAAGCATTCAGATGGTTTGCTCCAAGAAATACACAAATGCTTAGCTTCTCTCTTATTTTTGTTTGCCTCAAAATCAACGGTTTGTTACCATCAATGAAAACGTAAGGCAAATTGAGAGTTCTAATTAGTTCTACTAAATAGCAAAATGGAACACAAAATGGTTAGACCAACTGAGTATAGGAGAACATGAATATGAGACTTTTAAGCCCATGCCAAAACCAGCACTCGAGACAGATCTAATAACAATCAAGAAAATCCTCTGTTTACCCTCACCCGAAGTTTATATGAACTAAATCACTTGGTGCACGAATTGTTAGTTTGTTTCTTTACAAGAAATTTAATTTTCATATCTTTCTTAAAACTTCCTATGCATACAATAAAAATTGTGCACATAGAGAACACAATCATATATATATCAACGAACTGGTATTTCTGATTATATCACATGCAGCAAAATATGCCCAACAGCTTGGTTTCTGCCTATACATTCATGAATGCAAATTCTCCATGTCACCAATAATTTTTTGCAGCCCTTCCAGAACCTTGAGTCCTCCAATTCAAAAAAAATAAAGAAAAGGAAAGCCTAATCAATGGTTACTCGTGGTCTCAAAATCTACAAAATGGACGTGATTAATCACCTTTCCAAGACAACATAAAGATAAAGAATAGACAGAAGCACTCAGGGAAGTAAGGAAATATCTGCCTCCATAAAGAATATCACCGATTAACCAATACTATATCAGTAACCAGCAGGCATACAAGAGATACATATCTTCTTTCAGTAAATCAAGAAAAAATGAGAAAGGAGCAAGAGCCTTGAATACTTGTCCCCCAGTTGTTCTAGGAACAACGGATATGGAAGCTATATCAACACAAGATTGCACATTAATGAAAATGTCCACACAAACTTATAAAAGAACCATAATAAACAAACAGTTCTCCTTTTATACAAAATAGAAGGGAGAGTGTTGACCAAAAAGCACACCCAATTTCATCCTAGATGGCACCTGATGTCTGCAAATTCTATAGTCATCGTCATGAAAGTCTCGCCTGCAGGTTGAAGCAATTTATGGGCCTCCTATAACCACAAAACACAAGATATGACATACATGAAGAGAAGAGGATTACGAATAATTGTTTTGATCACAACACATTATTCAAAATGAATAATAAAATCCCATCTTCAGACAGCCTTAGCTATATTATCAAGCCATGGTACAAGGGGGAAGACATGAGATTCAACTAGAATAGCACCCTGCCAAAAGAGATTTTAAAGCAGGGTATTACAATGGGGAACCAAAAAGAAAGGATCTCCAAATACAAATTTGAAAAGGAAAGTCGCTTAATCAGAAACAACTTACGTGTATCTCTTCCTATGCTCTCTTAGATACAAATTTTTCTCGAAAAGAAACTCTACAAAATAAAATTATATTTCATTTATCCAGAAAAAGAAGCATGTTCTCGTCCAAATTATTTTTGCCAAGACCATTTTATGCAAGCTTTAGAAGTAAAGCTTGACATAGTCAGTTGAAAGATTGAAGTAGGTGTTACAGTTTTAACCAGATGTACAAAGAATGTTCCTATAAGTTAACAATGACACTTTTTTCAGAGATGAACAAATTTGGAATTTCATAATATAAATATGCAATCATGCGGCCTAGATTTAGCTTCTATTCAACTAACTAAGGCATTTCTACATTTTATCCCCACATATTGTTTAATAAAACTTTCTGAGTATTGAGTAATCTTCCTTCTTCTTTTTTCTCAAAATTTTACAACATATAAATCATTCAAAGGAAATATTGAAAAACCTTCTCGCCAACTGACATATTTGACCTTCTAATAGCTTCTCTTCCGGAAAGAGCTCCGTACCCAGAGATGGCAAGATGGCAGAAATGCAAAACTATTAGAAATAGAGAATGCGAAAAGAAAATTGACCTAAAGTCTCTAAAAGAGAGAAATAAATTATAAAGAAAAATGAATTATGAAAAAGGTAGATTTATGGCAAGAAAAAATTCAGAAATATTCAAAAAAAGGGAAAATAGAAAACCGAAGCATATAAATGTAAGACCTAACGTCTTGCCTGTACTTTATTTGTTTCAAGACCAAAAATAAATTCTTATAGTTCTTATGTCTTTGGTTGCAAAAACCTAAAGAAATCTATGATGACTTTTTACTCTAGAAAAGAATAAGTCTATAACTGAATAGCTACCACAAAATTACCAATGGGTTCGAAACTGCAACTCGGGCACAGTTCTTGGGTAGTGCTTGAGCCAAGTACTCGGCCTGAGTTGTGAGTACTACAACAACCAAAAAAAATGTCAAAAAAAAGAACACAAGAAAATCCCAAAAAACAGGAAACATAATTTCAAAGTAAAATTAATAAAAACACAAGAAAATGAGTTTAAAAAAAGTAGTGAAAAATGGATTTTAAGAAAATCAAATTTTGACCGAGGGCATTTTGGAATAATCCAAAAAAAGAGAAAATGTAAAAATACGTATTGGTGGCCAAAATGTTAGGTTAATGAAAACACATGTCATCAACAAATTCCCTTCCTTTGGTATTTGTATGATTATTTATCTACATTCTTTTGAGATCACCAACTCGGAACCCCCAACTCGCAGATATTCGGACTCTCCACAGGGACCAGCCCGAGTAGTCCATACTCGGACCGAGTTTTGGAACACTTCAACCCGCTACTATTCTCTTCCACCGCAAAGAATGTAATATCTGAATCATTGTTTGACCAAGCAATATGTTGAAGCAAACAAACAAAAACCATGCATAAAAAGTAGTTTTCAAAATCATGGGTTAAGAGTGCAGGGGTAGTAGCATTGAGTTTTCTTTATCTTTTCATCACAGCAATGTATTACTATCCAGCGGCTCCCAACAACATGCAAAGGACAAACAAAAATGAGAGAATGTTCTAGAGAGGGAAAATCAAGGGGAAATTTTTTTTCAAACGGATCTTACTGATTGAAATCCGAAGAAATTGCTATGGAATGGGGGCGGCATTTTATTGGAAAAAAGAAGAAAAAGAAAGGAAGAAGAAACAATGAGAACATTTATTTGATATAATTGACGAATTATGAATAGCCTCCATTAGATTAGGAAGGATAAGGTTAACTGGATGCAGAGGAGTATACCTTTGACCAACACAACGCAAACCCTTTCCTTGTCTCTACAAATCTTCAAAAAACGCTTTTCCCTCTCTTTCACCGTAAAGTGCAACATTGGGGATGTGTTGTACTTTGGGATGGTCTTCACCCGAATCTCTATTTAATCGCCTCAAAAATGCATCATCTATGTCCCTAAGAACCAAATGTTCAAGGGAAGTGAGGTATTGGAAGCCTTGAGGCAGTTTCCTGCAATTCCCAATATATACTCTCTGAAAGTATGGCATGGCTACCTCCTCCACTTCTCCCCATTCTTCCCATTCTTCTAAATACTTGAGAACGAGTGCTTGAAGTTTGGGGAAGCCACCAGCGTCACATTTATCGATACGTGTGCCCACATAAGATGCTTGGGATAGAGAGAGAAATACAAGATTGTGCAGCTTTTGAAGGAGGACAAATGGGTCCTGTGTGAGATTCGAATACGCTAATAGTAATTGAGAGAGATTCAAACCAATTTGGCAGCATCCCTCCTGGCAGACGACAATTGAAAAATAGCTTTTCAAGAGTGGTTGGAGGTGATAGGGTTTCAATATGTGAAGGAAGGAAGTGGTGTATCCAATTCCATGGACTCTATGAACAAGCAATGGAGAGAATTCATGATTTGGATGGAGTCCCACAATTCTCAATTTTCGCATGTGTTTCAGGCATACTAATTCTCTAACTAACTTAGAATTGCCTAATATACATGTTAACGTTTGGAGATTAGCTAAATCTTTTATTCCATCTAGAACTCGCAACCTCCAGGTAATGCCAAGGTTCAAATACACCAGATTTGTCAATTTTTTGTAAGATTTCTCTTGGGAGAAATCCTGTGAATCCCTTCAAATCTAACGTTAGCAAGTTTGTCAAGTTCCCCCAAAGACTTTGGGACCTTCTTAACCCCTGTATCCCTTAATCCAAGGTACCTCAAATGAACTAGGTCTCCTACTCCATTAGGTAGGCACTCAAACTGAACTCCTTGTAGGTCCAAAACCCTCAAATATTTGGAGCTAGAAAGCAATTGGGGCAAATATGAGGGTGACAACATTTGTCAACCCCTAAACATTAAAAATGTTCGAACGCATGATATTTTGTTCATAGCACAAAAGCCCAAAGCATCAATTTGGGTAGAGATGTGCCGGATTCTATCGGGAAATGTGTTATATTTGCCATCGCAAATTGCTCCAAACATCTCTTTTTCTAACAACGAAATACCAAGGTTTCGCATTACATCACGTACGCAGATTGTGTGGATACTCCCAGATAGACCAAGTCTTGCCACTTGAATCAAGCTACGATCCAACAACTCTTTGAAATAATCAGCAGCTACTTCCATCTTTGTTATTCCTCTCCTCCCTTCTATAAATCCTTCTGAGACCCATAACCTAATCACTTTTCTACAAGGAATCTCATAGTCCCCCGGAAAAAAACAACAGTACAAAAAACAATACTTCAGAAGAGGTGATAAATCCCTATAACTTAATGTCAGAATACGCTTTACACCTTTATCCATATCTAATTCATATGCAAGACTGCGGCGAACCTTGTCCCAAGCATGAATTGTTTTGGGTCTTTTGTATATCACACTTCCAATGGCCACAATTGCGAGGGGGAGACCCTCACATTCCTTGACAACAAGCCTCCCAATGTTCTCCAATTCCAAAGGACATGAGTTACCATTTGTCCCCCCAAATGCTTTCTTGCAGAAGAGAAGCCATGCTTCTTCTGGTGTTAGTTCTTCTAGCTTATAAACTTTGCTCCATGGTGAAGTGACTTCTGCCATACGTGTTGTAATGATGAATCTACTTCCATTATATAAATCAAGAAATTCATTGTGCATCTCTTTCCACACATTCTCCTTCCACACATCATCTAACACCACAAGATACATATTGTCTTGCAAATGTGCATGGAGCTTTTTCTGCAAAATGGCCTATGTCTTTTTCCTCTGCATGATTTTCATCGAATCCTCTTAGAATGACATTAAAAATCTCTATTTTGTTGAATGATTGCGAGATGGTAACCCATGCACGTCGTACAAAATGTTTCTTCACAAAGCCATTATTGTAAATTTTTTTGGCAAGAGTAGTTTTCCCTAATCTACCCATGCCTACGATAGAGATTACCTTGAGTTGTTGGTCACCATCTAGCAACAATCCTTCTACTACTTTCACTTTCTCTTCAATTCCCACAAGGTCCGCTTCCTCAAGTAGAGAGGAAATCCCTCGTGTATATGCCCCTCTTGTTGCCACAACATTTGAAGTGCTCCCTTCTTCTTCTCTCCTTTCAAGGTTGAGCCTGCCCCTTCTCTCGGAAATGTCAGCAGCACGAGTTTTAATACTCTTTTATCTTAGTTGCAACTTTATGCTCCTTGATAGAAGAAACGGATGACATCAGACAGCCATCCTCTCCGCCTCTGTAAGCGTGCGATTTCGATGATGAATTTGTCAGGAACATCCTCAGCATCGTATGCAATATCTCGCACTTGTCGAACCCAAGCATCCACCGCTTCATTTCTCTCTCTTTTCTCATCAGCATTCTTTAGGAGCACTTTCATGCCTTCAAGCTCATCTTTGATCCACTGAATACCATCTTTTACTCCGGAAAGGAGTTGCACTTCATCTACGAGTAGTTTGTCTAATTTTTGCAGCAGAAATGACACAGCAGGATTAGCCATCGCTCTCTCTCTCTCCAACTGTGCACTTGGTTTGTACCCAGGACTCAAGTATAAAGGTCCTCTATCCTCTCCATTTTTTCTTCTCCAGTTTTAACCTACTTAGACATTTAGCATCATTAATTTCTCTTAATGAATGCCGGTTCAAATAGCACATAAAAAATATCCATGCCAACAATTAAAGATGTGCAACTCGCCCAATTTTCTCTTTGATATTGCCACTAAAACATGTTCAAGCAAGTAGGCTTGACTTGACTTTATTTTAATAAAATAGACAACAAAGCCGATGAGTGCCCGTTAATCCATTTTCAAACGGTGACCCTTTCCTCATGTCTCCCTCTGTACCTTCCTTGTTATAATGCGTAGCAACTATAATATTCATAAGTAGATATATTTGCACTTCATTTGTTAGGCACGCAATAGGTGGTCTAGCCCAACAAACCTAGCCAGTGGTTAACTCCTGAAACGCACTAGGGATATTTGCGAAGTTTACATAAGGTTATATATTAAAGTTACATTAAACTACCTTTTTCGATGGATTTTTTAGGTGGTTCTACGTTATAATGTTGCATCCTTATATAAACTTTTTCCTCGAGCAAATAACATTATCAAAGCAAACAAACCAAAAAGATTCAAAGGACCACCACAAGGAGCAGACAATCAATCAACCATCAAAAATCAAGAAGTACAGGGTTTATTGATTGCAGAGGGGTACCATTGAGTTTGAGGAGGGACCAAACGCTTTCTACACATCTCCATGAACCCGCTCCCAGTCTTCACAAATCTTCAAAAACATCTTCCCCGTCTCTTACATGCCAAAGTCGAATTCTGGGGATGTGTTGCACTTTGAGACGGTCCTCACCCGAATCTCTTTCTAATCGGCTCAAGAATTCATCTCCCACCTCCTCAAGGTTCAATAGTTGGAGGGCTGTGAGGTATTGGAAGCCTTGAGGCAACGCCCTAAGTTTCCTGCAATTCCAAATATATACTCTTTGGAGGCATGGCATGGCTCCCTCCTCCACTTCTCCCCATTCTTCCCATTCTTCTAAACCAATGAGAACGAGGCGGTGAAGTTTAGGGAAGCCACCAGCGCCACATATGGCTGTACGATTGCCCAAGTATGATGCTCGATGCAGAGTGAGGTCCATGAGATTGGGCAGTCTTTGAAGGACGAGGAATGGGTCCTCTGTGAGTTTGGAATGCTCCAAGACTAATCGAGAGAGGCATGGGAGAGATTCAACCCAATTGGGCAGCTTCCCGCTGGGCAGACCACAACTGAGGCCTAGCCTTTCAAGAGTGGTCGGAGGAGATTGGGCTACAATGTGTACAGGAAGTGCTTCATCCAAGTCCATGCAACTTATTCGCAGGCAATGGAGTGAATCCATCTTTTGAATGGATTCCCACAATACACCCCCATCTTCACTTCTCTGTAACTCAATATATAATTTGCGCATTTGTTTGAGGCACAATAATTCTCTAACAAACTCAGAATTTCCTCCTATGTATTTTAAGGTTTGGAGATTAGCTAAATCTTTTATTCCACTCGGAACCCTCAAACTTCTGTTCGCAACCATGAGACCACCGCTCAAGTACATCAGACTTTTTATTTTTGAGATTTCTCTTGGGAGTTCTCCCACGAATCCCTTCAAGTCTAAGGTTTCCAAATTTTTCAACTTCCCTAGAGACTTTGGGACTTTCTTAACTCCTGCATTTCTTAATCCAAGGTACCTCAAGTGAATTAGGTCACCTATTTCCTTTGGTAGGCACTCTACATGAACCCCTTGTAGGTCCAAAACCCTCAAATATTTGGCACTAGAAAGCAAATCACGCAAATATGAGGGCGACGACATTTGCGAACCAAACATTAAAAATGTTCGAAGGCAGGACATTTCGTTCACAGTAGGCACATTTGAACCATCATCGCTTTGAATAGACATGTGCCGAATTCTATTCGGAAATATGTTATTTTTTCCATCACAAATTGTTCCAAACATCTCTTTTTCTAACAATGAAAGACCAAGCTTCCATACCACGTCATGTAACCGGATTGTTTTGACGTGAACCGTTCGACCGGGTTTTGCCACATGAATCAAGCTACGATCCAACAGCTCTTTGAAGGAATCAGCCGCTGCTTCTATCTCTGTTATTCCTCTCCTTCCTTCTATAAATCCCTCGGCGACCCATAACCTAATCAATTTTGAACGGGGAATTTCATAGTCTTCGGGGAACAAACAGCAATACAAGAAACAATACTTTAAAAATGACGATAAGTCCTTGTAACTTAACGTCAAAATACCCCTCACACCTTTATGCTTGTCCAGTTCGAATGCAAGACTGCGGTGAACCTTGTCCCAAACGTGAATTGTTTTGGGTTTTTTGAACATCATACTCCCAATGGCCACAATTGCAAGGGGGAGACCCTCGCATTCCTTCACAATGAGCCTCCCTACTCCCTCCAATTCCAGAGGACATGGGTTACCAGATTCTCCCCAAAAAGCCTTCTTGCAGAAGAGAAGCCATGCTTCTTCGGTTGTTAGTTGTTCCAACATGTAGACTTTGCTCAATACGTTCATCGGTAAAGTGGCTTCTGCTGTACGAGTTGTAATGACAAATCTACTTCCATTATTATCTGAATTAGGAAATGCACTGTGCACCTCTCCCCACACATCCTCGCTCCACACATCATCTAATACCACAAGATACCTCTTGTCATGTAGATGTGCATGGAGCTTTCTCTGCAAATGGCCTATGTCTTTCTCCTCTACATGTTTTTCATCGAATCCTCTAAGAATGACATTCAAAATCTCTATTTTGTTGAACAACTGTGAGACAGTAACCCATGAACGATAAACAAAGTGTTCCTTAATAGGATCATAATTGTAAATTCTTTGAGCAAGAGTAGTTTTCCCTAATCCACCCATACCTAAGATTGAAATTACCTTGGGATGCAGGTCACCATCTAGCAACCATCCTCCTACTTGCTTCACTTTCTCTTCAATTCCAACAATGTCTGCCTCCTCAACCAAAGAGGACATCCCTCGCGTATATGCCCCTCTAGCTGCAATAGCATTCGAACAGCTCCCTTCTTCTTCTCCCATTTGAAGGTTGAGCTGGAGCCTTATCTTTGCAATATCATCAAAACGAGCTCTAATTCTCTTTATCTCAGTTGCAACCGTATGCTTGATGCATTGTTTTTTAATTGAAGATGAAGGTGAGATCAGATTCTTGATGAATCCTCTCCTCCTTCGCATGTTTGCAATTTGGAAGATGAATTTGTCAAGGATATCCTCAGCATCATACGCCACATCTCGCACTTGTCGAACCCAAATGTCCTCCACTTCATCAATCTCTCTTCTTTTATCCGCGTTCTTTAGGATCGCTTTTGTGCCTTCAAGCACAATTTTGATCCACTGAATATCATCTTCCACTCCTGAAAGGAGTTGCACTTCTTCTACGAGCAATTTGTCTAGTTTTTTTAGCAGAAAGGCTACAACACTATCAGCAACACAATCAGCCATCTCTCTCTCTCTCTCTCTCTCGAAGAGCTTTCCTTTCAAGAAGTATGTAGCATGCAGAAGTAATGAAATGTGTATTCTCTTCTCTTTCCTCAAATCGTACTTCTTATAAACAACAATGACATAGTGATACTATGAAAAAATTTGGACCTAGTAGGAAGGGGTGAAGCTTTTCGAGAGATTTACATATGGATTTTAAAATTTTTCTTAAAATACGAAATACTCCATTTATTGGCAGAAATTACAAAGGATTGAATCCTCGTTTCAAATTTGAAACTTTCGTTTTTAGTTTTTTCGTTAGTAGGGCAGTGCCCCAAGTTTTAGGAGAGCGTCCTACTAATGAAAAAATAAAAAAAAATTAGAATTTGTTAGGAGGATGTCCTCGGACTGAAGGATAATTTTAAAAAAATAGAAAAACAGCAGGTCAAGTGACCTTCTTTATAATTTCTACATATAAATAAATTATTTCTTATTTTTTAAAAAAATTTAGGGTCTGTACGTAAATCACTCAAGCTTTATCCATGAGGGTTGTTCCTTTGCAGCTATTATTCCTTGGATTTCCTTTGCTTTACCTAATCATAATGGGCGTCCAAATTGCTTTAAATGGAAGCATGCTTCATTGCTTTACATGAGATAAGGCAGTGCACTTTAAATGGAGGCACCTACTTTTGTTATTCTTTGTCAAATTATTAAAGCAAGTATTTGTTGAAGCAATTTTAGTCTCGGAAATATTGATAAGAATTTTTATTTTTTTTATTTTTTTTTATAAGAACATCACAATTATTCTCGACCATTAGATGTGACATTAAACAATTAGGGGTGTAGAGCTGATGTGCGCAAAATCTAAATTTTTTTATTTTTTTTTGGAACCTTCGTGATAGACTCTGACTAGCCTTATTTCATGTATGATGGATGAGTAATTGTGACCCTCTTATACAAGCTCATGTTAGCGATGATGAACTTTTCGCATACAAGCTCATTTTAGCGACAATGCAATATTGGCATTCAAATACAATCTATTTAAAAACTAATAATAATAATAATAAATATTGATTTTGGGTATAGAATTGTACAACTCCATAGTCTCAATCACCACTATCGTGAATATAAAGAGAACGGCATATATTTTTTAGCTTAAAAAATTGTTAAACTATTCTTTTTGAACTGTTTATTTAATTATTTATGGATCGTCAGTTCTACACAACTTTTTGAGCTGCAAAACTATCGATCGAAAGAAAAAAATGCATCTAGAGTGACTTTGATGTATTTCATGTCCTAAATCAATAGGATGAATTTTTAGGAAGAAATAGAATTTGAACAGGTGCCATAGTGAATGCAACATAAACTTCTCCTTGCAATTCCCTCCTTTCTCAGATGCTCATGCCCCCACCTCATATAATGCAATGTAGCAAAAGTATAATTATTCACCCGCTTTTCTCAAAGTTATTCTATGTTAAAGTAATTCTTTGGTAAAGGAGTGCATTCGAATGTGGTTCTTTGTTAAAGTAGTTTCTCCAAGAGGGAAAGAGACACTAAGTCAGCTCTCTCTCCAGCTTTTGTGAAAGCTATTCTCTGTTGAAGTAATTCATCGTTAAAGTAATGCACTCTAATGTGGTTCTTTGTTGAAGTAATTTCTCTGAGAGAGAAACACTAAATCAGCTCACCTCATGACTATTCAAATATTGCAATTCAAGTTTTGAAAATCATTTAAGTCAATCATCTCAGATTGAACATTATGGTTGTGAAATAAAATTAAGATTTCAAGTTCTAAAAATAATCTATATAACAACAAATTATTTAAATCAATCATCTAGAGCATCCATTTCACCTTAAGAATAAGTGTTCACACATCCACAATATCTGTATTGATTTTTTTGAGTTTCAAATTTTATTGTCAGTATTGAAAATTAATTTTAGAGCTATCATGAAGATTTCTAATGCCCAAAGTGCTTTCGGGGATGAGGATTTGGGGTAAGGCTTTATTTTGTTTTCATAACCCTATAGAAACATCATCCATTTACCATTTAACATTATTTAGTTTTTAGTCAGATTTTTATTCTCAATTTCCTTTCTTAAAATCCTTGTTTCTAATTTCTTGCAAATAAAACGCTCAGGCTGAGATACATTTCTCAAAAATAAAAGGGAAAAACAGAGTGACTTCTAACTCCGATGACATGCTCATGTTTATCCTTGCATATATGGAGATGAATATTAGCATGACTTCATATTTTGTGAGCTTGCCGGTCCAAATTATACATTTGGGCCCATAGCAAAAATACTGGAGCTTGGGAAAGCCTAACAGTTTTGGAGGGAGTTTTGATTTGGGGCTTTTCTTTGAGCTCCAAATCATTTCTCTTTTCTTGAATTGATCTTAAGAGTGTTAAAAATACGATCCAAGAATTTTGGATCTATCAAATACTTCTAATAAGGGGTGGACATGTGGATTATAATTAACAATTTGCGCCCATGGATCAACCAAATCCTTTTTCATATAGAAAGATCATTGAGGTACATGTGCTCCCATGCCTTTGGGATGAGAAAGGAAGAGATTCTATACTATGGAGGGAGTATACTATCCATTTAATTCATTGTATAGAACCCAGTATAGGAGATTTTGGGGATCTAACATCTTCAACCCCCAGACTAACCTTAGGAAACAAAAAAACAAAGAAAAAAAAATCTGAATTGAATCCTCCATGTATTAGAAAAGAAATAAGATTGAACATAGACCGTCTAATTTTTTAAGGCCGAGCTTTAAATGTCTAGTGATTCTTAGGTGGTTCCTAAAATTTCAGATTGTAAAAAATCCTCCCAAGGAGGTCTTTTAACTAAGGGAGTAGTTATATAGTGTGCTTCTTAATAAGCATGCGCTCCTAATAATTATCAAACACTCATGATATCTAGAAATTTTGGATTACGTTTTGATAATGTGTTTGGACGTTCTTAACTATAGAGAGCGTGCTTTGTATTCATATAACAAAGCTTCACAAAAGTTTGGCTTCACGGCTTGAAAGAGAAATAGGAGTAAGAGAGAGAAATGGCACATTGAGAAAGAGTTAGAAAAATAAAAGACAGTTAGAGAGAGAGGACATTGTCAGAGAGATAAGTGTTAGAAAGAAAAATGATAAATTCAAAGAGAGAACGAAGTTAAAGAGAATTTCAAAAAGTGAATTCCTTCCCATCGGATGATGAAAGTGTTAGAAATCATAAGAGCATACATGCACAGATATTGAATGGAGAATGGAGAATGGAGAATGGAGAGAGAAGAAAAGAGAACACAACATTTATATTTACGTGGTTCAAGCCCAAGCTTTAAGTAATTTTGACTTGGTCTTTTCTTATCTTCTAGATACCTAATCTTATCAAGAGATATATACCCATAAATTCATAATGATATATATCAATATGAACTTGGGATATCCATATCCTAATAGAAAGATATCCATATCTTAATAGAAAACTGTATGTTCTCATTTTTTGAGGACCCAGAACTTCATACAACCAGTTTCTTGTAACATTCTTGTTATCATATAAGGAAGCACTATGGTATACTAGAACTTCCACCTTCTATCACTCCAACTTCTAGTTATCAAACATGCATAATATGTACCAATTCTTATCTTACGCTTTGAAAGGCATCGCTTAGAACACCCTTCCAAAAATTCAACAATTTAATGGTTAGCGTAATGAGCCTCGTTTACAATCACTGGAAGATAGAGGAATGTAATTATAATTCTGAACTTTTGCTCTATATATTAATGAAGGGTGCGTTTTTATAGAGTCGAGGCTCTAAACTATCAAAATAAAGTGCACCTTCAAATAATGTCGAGAAATGTGGTTTCAATACTGAAAATCTTCGTGATAGTCTTAAAATATATTTTTATTTTGAATTATAAAATTTAAAGCTTCAAAAATAGTACGGATCGAGCCAATCTATGAAAATCTTGAAAATTGATAGTCCATTAATGTGTTACATGATACATTAATTTCAAAACTTGAAATCCATTTTTTTCTCATGTCCATGCATCTTGATATTGAGATGATCATTTTAAGGATATTTGCGCATCAAAATAATCTATGATAATGAAATTTTTGAAGTGGCCTCTAATTTGATCAATTAGAGCCTTGGCTCTATATAAACTTTTTCTCAACGAACATTCTAAAAAAATAAATAGACAAACGGTTATAAGAGATACTTGAAAGAGAAGGCCAGCATGAAGAAACTAGTGAACAGAAGAGAGGTAAAGCAAAAGAGAAAGCTTTTTATACTTCCCCTATTAAATAGAAGTTGTATACTTTTCTCTATCTAGCCATCCGATCTAAATGGACGGCAGATAGACTCATTATAATGTCACACCTCTACATTGTTTTATTTTAAATTTTTTTTATAAAATATTTTGACACTAAATTTTGGGCGTCCTCTCCTCTTTTAAACTTGCACCTGCAAAGAATATTATAAAAATAACAATAAAATAAAAAAAACTCAATAAAATAAAATAACCAAAATAACCTTGAAACTTATAGGGGTATTTTATTTTTGTTAGAAATATTTTTTCAGGTGTAACCCATTGGCACGTACCAAATTTCAATATGATTTGTAGAAAAAAATCAAAATAAAATACTCTGAGGTGTTGGATCTAGATCACATGGTTAGTGACTCACTTGATCTAAATTGGACGGTTTGATGGAGCGAAAGTATATTACTTGGGAGGAAAAAGTTTCTATAAGGTGTCAACTTTATACTTTACGAGTAAGATGCACCTAAAAATTCCACTAGAAAAGGTTGTTCCTATGTTGAAGATACGCTCAAATCAATCATCTCAACCTCAAAATTCATAGACATGAAAAAAAAAGAGGATTTCTAGTTTTAAATATAGTTCATCTTCTAACACATTATCTGGGCCGGCCATTTTCAAGATTTTCAAATGTTTATAGATCTACTTGATCCTCACTATTTCTAGAACTTTAAATTTTATAATCGTGAGCAACAATATATTTTTATATTATCGCAAGGTTTAGCGGCCTCGAAACTGTAGCTTCGACATAGGTTTGAAGTGTACCTTACTTCGATAGAACAAGGTTGACACCTTATACAAATCTTACCCTACTTGGGAAGTATTGAAAGTTTTTCGAATGCAAAAATGTAATTAGTTAAAAGGTGAAGTTGGCATACAGATGCATCCGTAGGTGTAGAGGTAAGGTGCACCTTCAAATTTGATTATAGTAGATAATTTTGATGTAAAATATTTTTAAGATTATCTCAAAATTTATTTTTATATCTAATTATAAAATTTTAAATTTAAAAAATGGTTAAAATCAAGTAGATCTAAACGTATAAAAAATAGATGGCGTAGATAATATGTTGTAAAATACACTATATTTGAGACTTAAAAATCTTTTTATTTTTTATAATCATAGAAACATCTCGATGTCGAGATGATCAATCAAAAGGTTTTCTATGGATTTTTGAGGGGCATCCGTATTGCTACGTTATAAGGTAGCATCTAAGTTTTTCCTTAGTTAAAAGAAAGTGAAAACAAGAGACGTATAGAAAAAGAAAAGATGCCCAGCTCGAGAGAGAGAGAGAGGGGTTCATGGTCCAAAGGGAGAGTCCAAACGGCATGATAATATTATCCAATTACAGTAGTATAACTACAACAAAGGGCTCAACCAGCGACCACAAAAGCCACAGGGTTTACAACACAGGACCGACAACCGAGCCCACTCCTCACTTGCCAGGCACAAAGTTGGTGGCATAGGCCCAAGCATTGTTAGCCACTGGGTCAGCAAGATGGTCAAACAAGTTCTCAATTGGTCCCTTTCCAGTCACAATGGCTTGCACAAAGAACCCAAACATAGAGAACATGGCTAACCTCCCATTCTTGATCTCCTTCACCTTGAGCTCAGCAAAAGCCTCCGGGTCATCAGCCAAGCCCAATGGATCAAAGGCCCCACCTGGGTAAATTGCATCCAGGCCCTCACCTAGTGGGCCACCACCGACCCTGTACCCCTCAACAAATCCCATAAGGACAACCTGACAAGCCCAAATGGCCAGTATGCTCTGTGCATGGATGAGATTCGGATTTCCGAGGTAGTCGAGGCCGCCCTCGGAGAAAATTTGGGAGCCGGCCTTGAACCAGACTGATTCCCCGAACTTGACGCCATTCCTTGCGAGGAGTTCAGGGAAGACACAGCCGAGGGCGCCGAGCATGGCCCACCGGCAGTGGATCACCTCCAGTTCTCGGTTTTTGGCGAAGGTTTCTGGGTCTGCCGAGAGGCCTGCGGTGTCCCATCCGTAGTCTCCTGGGAACTCACCTGTCAGGTATGAGGGGGTCTGTTCGGAGAAGGGGCCCAGGTACTTCGGGCGGTCGGGGCCGTACCTGTGAGTGCAACAAGGCCGGGAAAAGAGTTAGATGAGATATGAGTAAGAAAGAAAGGTGTTTGGATATCGGAATCTTTCTAAAAAAAAAANAATATTATTATTATTATTAGTAGTAGTTAGTAAGTAGTAGTATACTACTACTACTACTACTACTACTACGTACTATACGTACTACGTACGTACTACTA